AGCCTCCAGGGGATAAAATCAGCAATTTATGCAACACTCCACCACCCCGGGAGCTGTTCCATTTCTCAGCATTGAATACTGTATGCTGTGGGGAGGAGCAGTGAGAGTCTGTCTTCTTTTGACCAGAAGTCCCTGCCCTAAATCAGAATTCTCTTCTATGGAAATTGGTATATACCCATAACTGGTTTCAATTTTGATTAGTATGTTTTCCAGTGAAAACCAATTTCAGAGGATGTCTTTTCCAACCAACTCTCTCACATCCATTGATATGTGGAAGATTTGAGTGTTTGTTCAGGAAGCATCATATGTCTGAACCAATTCAAGAGAAAAAAAATTAAGATTATATTCAAATATCTCATTCAAGTTTTGTTCTTAAGCTGTGAGCCTTATCTCTTTAATAAAGGAAGTTTCTGAAGAAAGTAATGCTGTTAGTTCTGTGATTCATGGACAGGTATTTCAACTTGCTTATATTGGGTGCATCTACACGTGCTATTAAGGCAGAGCAGTAAAAATTCTACAGCATATTGCTCCAGAGTTTATTGCTCCCTTGTGCCCCAGCCAGCACCATCAGCATCTACACGTGCATTACTGTGGAGTAAAGAACTCCACTGCAGGATACTACCCACTGCAGGACACTACTTGTATTTACAAGTAGTGTCCTGCAGTGGAGTTAATTAGTTTACTCTGTCCTAATATCATCTCATGCATAGACAGTGATGTTTTACTCCAGAGCTAATTAGGCAGCTCCACAGTAAACATCTTGTATAGATACTCCCTCCATATAGTTGTGCTTTAGTTTCGTGTGTTTTTTTCCTCTTTATAGTTCAAACAGTTTGCATTGACTTTTTACGGTGGCAAGAGCCAGCAACATAATGTTACAAATGAATAAGAATGAAAGGATCTGGAGAACTCGTTTCAATATTGTCAACATTTTATTTTTCCTCATGTTTTACAGTGAATAACCCTATACCATCCAATCTGAAGTCAGAAGCTAAAAAGGCAGCAAAAATATTAAGAGAATTTACAGAAATAACTTCCAGAAATGGACCTGATAAGATTATACCTGGTTAGTAAAGAAAACACTTTGCTGTAATTAAATGGTACAGTTTTCCTGTCCTCACCCAAGCAAAAGTTTCATTGGCTTCACTAATATTTACAAACTTCATTTTATATTTACCTGAGAGGAATAAAGACCTGGACCCTATCTGTTTTATATCTGTTTTCAACACATACACACTTTTTCCCCTTAATTTACTAGTTAGGGGTGAGATTCACTGTGTTCTAGGCAGTCAGCAATACATCTTTCTCACAGCTTAATTCCTCTCCAGAGTGTTGATGTAAGAGAGTCTTTCCATGCCTGGATGGGGCCTTTCAATTAGGGAAGACCAGATATAGTGAATATGCCCTGTATTTCTGTAGTAAATTAATGTTGCTAGAATAATCAAGATAGAATAAAAAACTCAGTTTACGTATTTTCTGATGACATTGTTACAGGGCTAAAATTTCAGCAGATATCTGAATGTGGTTCTTCTCTGATATACAAGTGTGAATTTAAATAACTCCTTGAACATAAATGATACTTCTATTCTCGTGCTAGTTTTATGTTAGTATATCAGACCCTCTCTGTATTCTTTGCTGTCTGGTGTTATTTCTGCCACTGCTACCATTTCTGTATTTTTTTTTTTCATATCTTCTATATTCATCCTGCATTTGTAGCTTCCAATTGTTACATTTTAGAAAAAAGTTATCTAAAGACAATACAGTTGATTTTCTGATCTCATTTTTTTTGTCACCAAGTATTAAATCCTATATGGTACTTAGACTGCCGTATGATTTAATTTCAAACTTCTCCCTCTTAAAAATGCATTGAGGCACAATGTCTTGTCTTCACTGTCATCTTTGTATTTCACTTTAGGTTTTATATAGAGATATATAGATATAGATAGATATCTATAAATATAGATACAGATATATAGATATCTATAGATATAGATATATAGATAGCTATATATGTGTATATAGATATATGTGTATATATATGTGCACGCGCACACACACACACACACACACACACACACACACACACATATTGAATGCTGCAGAGGTATCTGTTGTTAAGCTGAGGTACCATCAGCAGTATAGTCAGAGCAGCGTGCACTGAGAGTAGGTTAATTTATGGTGCCAGGTTCTTTACCATATGCTGAAATGCAGACACAACTTGATTTAGCTCACAATTTTGTGTTATTTCTTAAGCTTTACTCAGAATTGTTACTCAGATTTACAGTGATTCTCAACCAGGGTTCCAATGACACTGTGGGATGCTGCAAGATCCTTTTAAGGGTGATGCATAATATTAGTACTGTTGAGTGTGCAAACACCTACAAAATTCACAAAGTAAACTCAGTGTTTTCAGACAGAAGTCTTTAGAATCAACAAACATTCTGACTGTTGTGGTCTTTCTCAGTTCTATGCAACAAGAATTGTTCTAGTATATTTCTGTAATCAAAAAACAAGTGAAAGCTAAGAGTAGGCCTTTCCTGATGGGTGTCTTTACTCTAAAAAGTTGAGAACCACTAGTTTTTTATTGTTTCTAATTCAGAATTGTTAAGTGTGACTATTTTTTTACTCTGTTTTTATATACTCTTCATGCTCTTTTAAAAATGTTTATTAACTAGCTTATGTTTCATTCTTTTCAGCCCATGTAATAGCTAAAGCAAAAGGCCTTGCAGTTTTATCTGTTATCAAAGCTGGATTCTTGGTAACTGCTCGAGGAGGCAGCGGGATTGTATTAGCTCGTCTTCCTAATGGAAGTAAGTTTATGTTTTCTTTTTCTATCTCAGGGGGGAACTTCAGAGCAAGTAAGTCATTTTTCTTTCTTCTTTCTTTAAACGAAGTAGAATATAGGAAATGCCATTCTGGATCAGACCAGCAATATGTCTAGTTCAGTGTCTTGTCTCAAAGGTTGCTTTTTACATTAGAAGAGTTTGAAACTTAGAAATGATTAGAAACATTGCAACTGCACTGCTGTTAACACTATTGTTGATCAGACTTAGGTATTTTAAGCCTCTTTGCTGGAAAATAGGTACATTTCTTGGTACAAGTCGAGTCTTTAACAGGGGCTAGATGCACCAAAACAATGAGAGACATCCTCATAATGAACAAATTTGTAATAAGGTATCCATATGAACTCATTGGTTCGGATATGTTCTGAAGCCTGAAGGTTACTATCCTTTATAATATATTTATTTTGCTAACATATATTAGCCCCCTGGCAGATGTTTAGTTAAAGGTGCCATGGGATCTGATGCATGATCCCAACACGTTTCCTGCCATGCTTACATGCATAACAGGAGGCATGTCTGTGAGATCAGGGATCAGATACTCATTCTGCCATATTACCAGTGTCAGGGGAGCCCGGGGTCATGTGTAATAACTTTGTGGCTGGTTCCTGTAGTGCCCTAAATTGTCCTTGACTCCCAAGTGCTCTCAAAGCTGGGAGCACAGATCAGCTGACTGCATTATCTGCCTTGGGGGTACATCAGTCTCAAGGGGTATATGTAATAGCTGCAGTAATTAAAACGTCTACTTTTGTTTTAAAATGTTATTGAGTTTTATGCTTTACAGTCGTACAATAGGGAGTTTGTCTGCCATGCAGAGAAAAAAGGGTCCGGTTTTAAATTTGTTACCGTCTTTTAATTGTATAGCATGAGCAGACACACACATCCCAGTGTAATTTACATCAGTTAGGTGTACACTGAGATGAGAAACAGAAAAATCCTCAGTTATGTCTCAAAATAGGTGGGTCTTGCTGTGCTCTGCCACTAGGTAGAGGTGGAGCGAGGCTGTGTCTTTAGCAGATGGTTTCTCTGGAGTGGATGTACACAAACAATGTTTTAATCCACAGTAATATACACCAGTAGAGTTTTTTGCCCTAGATTCCTTCAGGATACGCCAAATAGTGAAGTTACCTTGCTGTAAAGGTTTGAATTGTCTTTCCACTACTTGTTTTCGCTGATATAAATATGTCACCAGTCCAGAGTCTTAGTGGATTGGAAAGCAAGTAGTATACTTATCCCCACTTCCTAAAAGAAAATGTTTATGGGTCAAGCTTCATTGGTTATACTGCTTAGGTGGTAAAGAATTCAAGCAGGGAAAAGCCAAAACAAATTAACAAAGCAACTCTTTGTCCTTGATAATATCCCAACTACAAATTTCGTAAGACCTTTACCACAGGAAACAAGTTCAGAGCTCTCCGTCTTTGAGTCTGCAAGATTCTGAGACTGTTTACTTAGATGCAAAAACCTACCACTTATAGTAGCCAGCACAACTTCTGAGCTCCTCTCCTGCTCTTCATCTTCTGACTTAGAGCCAAGCCCCTGCATGGAATACAGGCCCTCTACGATTCTGCTTTAACTGGTTTAGTAGTAGATTCCAGCCCTTCCTTCTTAGGGGTAGTATATCCTTCAAAGGGTACATTTGTTTGATCATAGATTTAGAAATGTATGTATTTATAAATATATATTTACTTATATTTATTAAATCTACTGAGAAAGCAATGGTTTACCTAAAAATAACAAAATATCCTCGTTTAGAGATCTCTCTCTGTCTTAGAAAGCAATGAATGCCATGTATGTGCAGGATTGCTGTCATGGACAAAGAACTCTAAAATAATAATAATTAGTGGTTATTTTTATTAAGTGCCAGAGCTAGAAACATTGTGATGCATACTTTAGTTGTATGCATAAAGGATAAGTACTTAATTAGTTTAACTACATAAGGTGACACAGGTTCCAATTTTTGCTTTTTCACTTCTGTTATAAACATCCGTTATCTGTATAAATCATTTAAGCACATAGGAACTCTTTGGCCCTACTTGCTGTTTAGTAAATTGTATTCCCTCCAACTGCATAATTGGTGAAACTGACTAGGAGTAGTCGGTTTCAGCAGCCCTGATGGAATTAGGTCCTGTCAATTTCAAAGCTGCTATTTAGAAAAATAAGACATTCTGAGAAACAAGATAGAAAGCCCCAGTCAGATGCTAAAAGTTTAGTCCAGTCTTCGTGCAGTTTGAGTTTGGGGAAGTGCATGCTCCAGGGAAAAACATACCTTATTCTCAGTCGCAAGGCTGTGTACTTCCCTGAAGTAATGTACTCCACATATTTCTCTGTAAATGTTTAGAACATTAGAAGCTACAGTTCAACCTTATCACATAATGCCATGTATTATAAAAAGAACAAAATAAAGAAATTGAGATGAAATTGTGTTTCAAAGGTAGTAGGAGTATATTTAAAAAATCCTGTATGTCACTACAGTGCTTTCTGACACTAATGGTTTATTTCTTGTTTCCAAGTTAACAAAACACATTTGTCTGTGTTGATTAATGATTAAGTGTTTGTTTGTATTTGAAATCAATATTTACCCACACAAGTATTACAGTAAGTAATATTAAGTAACAAGCATTGGAAACTCAATACATGGTAGTTCACTGCAGTGTTATGAAACAGTTCATTTTAGGCAATGACAAATTGCAGTAAGTAGTTTCTGCTTTTCTACTCAGTTAAGTGTGGAGACTAATTTCGCCCTCATTTACAAAAATATAGCGAACAACCATAGGTAGCAATTGCTGGGAACTAACTATTATCAGAAAATCATGACAGCTACAAAATATAGCTACCTCCCTCTACCCCTTTGTCCCTCCCAAAAAAGCCAGTAGCATGTATCTACTACAAAAATCCTCATTTTCAAATTTCTTAAGTTTTGTATGAAAATAATACTTTTTAATCAATTTTGAAATCCAAAAGATTAACTGAACTTAAATTTCAGAAGTTTGAAAGATATTTTACTGTATATTGAGGTGTATATTTTCAAAACTTTTTAAGCAGGTTGCCTAATAAAATATTATTCAATGTAAAAGATGCTGAATGAAATCTATTTCACTGTAATACTAATATAGCTGTTTTCAGTTCAGTCACTTGCATTTTCCGAGTTATCTAACATATATAACCTATCACTGGTTGGCTTGTAATGTGCACCTTATTTCATGTGGTTCAGGCTGGTCTGCTCCTTCTGCAATAGGGATAGCTGGCCTCGGTGGTGGATTTGAAATTGGAATTGAGGTAAGTGTTTATATAAACACACTTAAGGTATAATAAAAGCAAAATTTTCAATATAACATTCATTAACAAGGGAAGTTTTGATGTTGACATATTTTGAAATGAGGTTTAAAAATAACCTATTTCAGTTGCATAATATACAGTATGTTTCTGTAAAACAGTACATTTTAATTGGAAGTATATAATCCTTAAATGATACATAATCCTGTAGTTCCCCACTAGTCAACTTCTTCAGCTGGAACACGCTATTTTTGTTCACTTTTTGTTTAAAAACAAAGCCAGACAGTCTAACTTCTAAGCACAGAAACAACCCAGTTTGTGACTGATGTGCAGTGGTATAATGGTCCAGCTAAAGCCACCACTCCCCTTGAAAAACATTTCCCTGGTCCCAAAACTACTAGAAAATACCTTTCTCCATAAAGGAGGCACTAGAACCAAAGTGATATCTCCTCTACCCCAACCACATGATCTTCAGGAACCAGCTAGCTTGAACAGCCACGGCAAAAGCCTTCAGACATTCGTAGTGCTCTTGTAATTTTTACATCAGTTCATTTGCTTTCTCCCTCCACTTACCCCTGACCTCGGTTTCACTCTTCATCTACCATCTGACCTTCTTTAATCCTGCCCTGTCCTTTTCACTCCCTTCTTTTCCCTTCCATTTAAATGTCCTTCCCCAACTAAAAAAGAAAATAGTGGAACTAATGTTTCATTTCCTGCCATCTCATTCGTGGTTCTGCTTGTGCATTATACCGTCTTACCCAATGCCTGTCTTTATAATGTAAGCTCTCTGGGACAGGCGCTGCCTAGTACTCCATTTATACAGCATCTAGCACAGTGGGGCCCCAATCTTGATTTGGGTTTCAGTAATTATATTGTAATAAGTATAATTACAACAAATACATTACGCCCTCTTTTGTCCTTTCCTTCAGTATTATTTGAACTCTATAAAAGCAGCATTATGAAGTAACCCTCTTTATCTGGGAAGATTGTGCTCTTTCATAATTTAATCTCTGAATAGTATTTCTTTTGTGTACTATCTTCAAGCTTCTACTTGATCCTAAGGGTATTTTCCCTTTCTATTTTTTCCACAATTTTACTTGGGATAAACTTCAGCCAAGGTGCCTAGTCTTGGTGCTACATTGGCTTTCCTTCAGTGAGATTTCCAGCCCAAACAGAGGACTGAGCCAATGTGATTTTAAGCCAATTTCAGCTCCTCACAAATCCTAAGGAACAACTATCAATTAAACCATGTCTGTACAGCTGGGAGCCTGTGGGCAGCACACAGCCCTGAGGGGTGAAATCACTGCCAGCAGGCTCCCACCTGGCTGTTTTGGGTGCAGCAGCAGCTGCATGCTGCACACTCCCATTCCTCCCTTTACCCTGCCCGAGGGAACAGTGTGGTGCAGTTCATTGTAGCCTGTAGTGTTGGGGTAACCTGCAGCCCGGGATGCTTGAGTGTCACAACGTAGCAGAAGAGCTCATGGCTGAGAAGCTTAGGGTAAGCTGCAGCATCTGGTTGCTGTGCAGTGGGGAAGTGTATTGTGCAGTAGGGGGATACCTAGAGGCATGTCATGAAATAGTGGAGGGCCTAGGAGTAGGTGTTGCGAGTGGGGGGGCATGGGGTGCAGCAGCAGGGTGAGGCATGCATATGGCTCCTGCTGGTATAGTCTTTACCCCTGCTGGTATAGTCTTTGCCCTGCTAATGTGGCTTGAGGGGCACATGGCTCTCAGCCATTTAGATATTGGACAGCCCTGAGTTACAGTCATCCTTTTGGGTTGAACCTGAGTTATGCCAGCATCCAAGGCATTACCTGGAATTTTTGCAGTGCTGTGGCCCTGGCTACAGGGCCCAGCCAAGTGCACACTAAGTACACGGCCAGTGCTCATATAATGAGCAGCTGTTCAGTACATATTTTTATCCTCATTGTTCAATGTGTGACCTTAGGCTTTATTACTGAATATTCTTTGGAACCTCCTATGAATACAAGATTATTAATTTTTTCAAGGGCTTTTCTGTGGCACTTATCTCTGTAGTATCTGAGTACTTTACAGACATTAATGCATTTTAGTTTCACATCTCCATGTAATAAGAGGGAATGTGTTATGAGGCTAGCTTTGTAACCTTTCTTCCCTTTTTATGTAAGTAAAGAAAAACACTGTTGCTTTTTGTAACTAATCATCAAAATCTTTACTGAATCATTCCTATCTGACATGTTTAAGTAATATAGTCTTTTTTTGGAGAAAATCAGTAGTATTAATATGTATAATTACTCTGAAAAAATGAAAGAAATGAAGGGTCCTTCTAAATAATAGTGTGCCCTATATTTAGACTTTCACTAGTTCAGCTATTATACAATATTATAATATAATATTACAGAAAACAGTTTTCTTTCTTAATTGTAAAGAGACCGGATAAAATTTCCAAAATGCCGAAATGATTTAGATGCTGAAGTCTGGATTTTAGTAGTGATTTAAGCCCTTAGGGGCCTAAATATGAAAATTCACGAGACGGTGTGTTCCTGAAATTGCACATTTCTGAGATTTTTACCTGTAGCTTACAACTGTAGAAACTATGACTATAAGTCAGTTGTGTGTATAAGTGTTTAAGGCACATTTATTTTTACAAATAATAATATTTAAAATAATTGATACATTATTTTCAATATTATTATTTATGAAATGTAGATAGTCAATTCAAATAGAGCTCTACAACCTTCTTTTTGTAATGTCAGTATATATCAATGCCCATTTCCTTTTATCAGAATTAATAATGGGAATAAAAAGTCATTATTTTGCAGGTGTAATTCTTATGGTACATTGGGTAAGTGAAGTATTTGAAAGATAGAATGTTTGCTTTTACTTGGAAAATCCAAAGGGAAAGTTGATGTTTTGAATTAGTGGTTTATTGAAGAAAATATTTTACTATTTGCCAATTAAATACTAGCCTAAAGAAAGAAAAATACCCTTAAGAACCTTTTCAAACCAGAAAATGAGTTTCTGTTGGTAATAGGAAATTATGCACTCTTCTTAGACACCATAATCCATAGATATTTTCTCCCATTTTCCTGGGACTTTTGGAAGAGTCCAGTAATAACAAAAAAAAAATGAATTAGCTACGTTCCTACTTATGCCATCAGTGGGTACCTATACACAAACAGGGAGGCTGCTTCAACACACTGTAATTCCAATGTGTCAGTGCAGACTTGATTAATTGAGTCTGCTGTAGCATGGAAATTACTGTGCTCTAGCAGCCTCCCATGTCTTGTGTATCAGCGTCTCCATACTTCAAAATGGCGGCAGAGGTGCTTTATCTAAAGCTCATTTGAACAAGCTTTAGATAAATCACCCCCACAAGCATTCTGAAGTGCAGGGATGCTGATACATGAGATGCTCAAGGTGCTTTACTTGGAGCAATTCTTGGAGCCACTTTAATTAAAGCACCCCCGCCCCCACCCTCCATTCCCACAGCACATGTATAAATGTCCACAGTGTCCATAGGATCAAGAACAATGGCTTTCTTTATTTCAGTTTTCCTTTGAAACTGATGGATTTCAAAAAACATTTTAAATAAAAGTATTTTGCAAATGCTTGTGCTCTTACTGGAACTTGTTGAAAACATTTTGTCAAGTGATATGAAAGATGTTCTTATAAAAATAAAAGCACATTAGAAAGGTGGTTTCTGTTCAGAGGCACGGGGTGTGTTTCCAGCTGGCTTCCTGCCTGCTTTTGCTTTTGGTGTTAGGCTTCTTACATCTGTGTGCTTGAAGAGATCATTGCCTGCAGTCAACTTCCCAGAGCTTAAATGCAAAAAGAACAACTCAAATTCGTGTTTGCTGACAAAAACTGAAACAGGTTTATTGTCTTTTAAGACAGTACACTAGTTGGTTTATGTAGCAACCCGCTCAGCAAAACTGCCTTGAAACAATAGTAGCAACACAATGCTTGTAGCCCACATCCCTGGTAGTGACCTTGGCGATCAAGTCTCAAAGCCTCAGTATTTATAGCTGAAATGCCCTCTGTCCCATGCTAATTCTTATTTCTCTGTTGAGATGTTCCTTTTTACCTGTCTCTTTGCCAAGTATGGACATCTGCAGCACACTGCATGCCAACTTGGGATACCTGTACTTCATCCATTGCCAAGTTTGGGCATCTACATTTAGCCTGTGTTATCTTTACTAGTGAGTTCTTACTTTATACTTTTCAAGTTGTTCACCTACTGTTTTTTTTCTATTCTCCTTGAATCAGCGTTTTTGCTCACTGCATCTTTTATCAGGTCATTCAGCAGTCAATGAAGCCTGCTGCTCCCAAGCTCCTTTGCAGTGCCTCAGTTTAACTATAGCTTAGTATATCTACAGCCTAGCATAACCAGAACTCCTACACTTTCAGCAAAAATGAATCAAAACTTCTTAATATCTTCAAATATTCTGTTTTAGTACTTCAGAAGAGAATATTTCAATTTATCTTCCTGAGAGCTTTTTATGACATACATTATTATAAAAAAAGACATAAAACAAAAAAAAAGACATTTTAAAAGCTTTAAAATGTTGACATTTGAATACATTCATTTTTATTTTTATTGTAATAAATGTTTTAATGAGTCAGAATAGTTATTTTTAAATAAAGATTATGAAGGAAAAGTGTGCTTTGTTGTTTGTGTTTAAAATTTTGAAATGTTGGAATAGCCCACAAAATAGAAAATTCTGTTCCCACAGGTCTTGTTCTTTTTCTCTTCATATAGATTAAATTTCAGAGTATTAATCTTAAAATACAAAATAGAGATTTTTTTTACTTGATTACTAGGTGTCAGATTTAGTAATAATACTGAATCATGAGCGAGCAGTTGAAGCTTTTGCAAAAGGAGGCAATCTTACCCTTGGAGGAAATTTTACAGTGGCAATTGGACCTTTGGGGAGGTGAGTAATAGTAAAGTACAAACTGTTAATAAAATGTTTTAAATATCAGTAATGACACAATAGTATTTCTATAATCTGTATTTTATGTCATTCTGGGAATATGAACCAGAACCCAGGCTCCCACTTTCTTATTGAAGTGTTCTAACTCCTATGCTACAAGACCATGTTGCTTGTTTCCTTTTGCTTCTCCTTACCTCTCACATCCCATGAATCTTGAATCCTTCGTTGCAGTGGCACAGCTTCAACAAGCTGTCCATTAAAACCAATCTATAGTATGATGATAAGAGCATTCTCTTATAAAATCAGAGATGTGTATTTGAACCTCTCAGACTGAGGAAGATTCTGAACCCTGATCTCCTGTTTCTTGGTTATTTGCTTTTAGCGAAAGTAGCCCCAAAATGTATGTTGCAGAGACTCAGATCTCATATCAGGGACTTTAGGATCCAATAACTATGTAAAGGAATACCTAATCAGGCTTAGGTGCTTAGCTTCCTAAAAGTAGGATACTTATGTTCATGCACAGAACTGGAACTCAGGGCACCTAGAGAAATGTACCTCCAGCATTAGCAGCTGAATAGAACTGCTTTCAGGCTTCGAAGCTTCCAGTTCTGCCTAAAAATGTTGGTACCTAAAGCCAGATTTTATTTAACTTAGTTTAGAAAGTGACATAAAACAATAGAAGACCCCCATCTAATTTTATACTGCTTAAAGATGTACCAGTTCTCTCAGTAGCTTACCAAACATACTGTATTTTCTTGCATACCACAGACCCTCAAATAAGACATGCAACTTATTTTTGGACGGTAGATTGTTGAAAAAAGGTTTTTTTTCCCCAGAATCATGACTGACTATGACACACATCCTTCTAGATTTAGAGTGTACAGAAAGTATAGCATCCCAGGAGACAACGAGTGTGTACCACACAGGCCAGGTACAGACATTACAATTTTACCAGTATAAGTGATTGGAAACTAGTCTATGCCCATAACAGAACAGAAGTTTGGCACGCACAGACTGGTTTAAAAATGGCGGAACTGAGTCTGAGATTTGCACTCCCCACCTTCCCTCCCTGGCTGTGTCCAGACAATTGTAGATGTACATTCAGATATGCAGGCATACCCCACACTGTTACCTTGCAGCATGGGGTTTATTTTTTACCCTGGGAGATCCCAGGGTCAAAAAAACCCATGCCAAAAAAAAGCGGCGCCTGAAACCAGAGCCTGGCTAGCTGGAGCCGCACTCCAGCTGCTGGCCAGGTTTCCCAGCTGCAGGAATGCCGCAACTGCAGATCCCTGAAGTCCCCAGGACCCCAGGTAAGGCTGCTGGAGACAGCACAGTTGCTGGCCCCAGCTCCCCTACTACACCCAGGTTAACCTTCCACACACCGGAACGTGCATGGCATGGGTGTTCCCTGTGGACAAATAGTAGCAGCACAAGGTGTGCCACAGATATTAATCCCTGGGGAAACAAACATCCACACTTATCTGGACACAACCACTAAGGGCATATGTGGGTTCTTTTTATTACTGATCTAAACTATGCCACTTACAGAAAACCATGTAACTTAGATCAGTTCTACAGTGGGCTTTTTGAATGTCTGTACCTAGCCATACTAACTTTTTGACAATTAAGTTGACTTTTTTAACTGTCAGACCATTCACTCTTATGTGGGGCTGAGTTGATCTAAATACAGCACAAAGTAATACACCTCTGAGTTGTATTATCTTGAGTTGCATAGTTAAGTCAACTCTAAGGGTCTACTGCAGGTGAGGGCTCACAAGATGGTTGCCACCATGTCAAGGATCTGTACATGTATATGCTCCGATGTAACTTTAAGTTGACTTAGTTAAGTCATCTTATTTTAAGTTGATTTAGATGTATATATGCAGTCAGTGTCTAGGTAGGGCATCAGGAACTTCTTGGTGTGGCAGGGCAGCAACAAGGCTAGACTCCAGACCCTTGTGGGGGCACTGGCAAAGCTGTTACTTCTTTACTGTAAGTAGGTTTTTTATACATTCTTGTAAATTATAAAATGTTGTTACCATACCACAGCTTCATCAGGATGCTACATACTGTATACAGTAGCTCACTTACCCTCAGACAGCTCAATTACTGCTTCAGACACAAGCTACAGTGCTCAGCCAATAGCTACCACACATTCCTTAGTAACTTTGAGAGGGCTAACATAGGACTTTACTTTTCTGTTCACAAGGGCCAAAGTGAAGTGGTAGCCATTAGATCACAGTATCTCCATGTTTCTAGTCTATGATTCTGTTGCAGCAAAGAAAAATCAGCATCACTACTTAAGACACACACCTCGACTTGCAAGAACTGATTTTGGGTGGAAAGGTATGTCACACTAGTAAATATGGTAACTTGATTCCTCAGTGTAAGAAAATTCTTTACCTTCTAATTAGACTAAATGTCTCTTTGTTCTGGTGTTGCAAGACGGGCTGAATTATACGTTCTCAGTTTGCCTTATTTTGATCATTCATTATTTTATGTATGTCTACCGTATACCCTTTCAACTTGCCTCCCTACTAATTTAAACAAGCCAGTCTTTCTAATTGCTCTTTATCTAAGGAGTGTTTCTATGCAGTGGTTCATCCTGGTTAACTTTCTCAGTGCGCCTTGAACTCTGCCACGTGCTTTTGGGGATTGGGTGAATACTACTGTATGCAATATTCTAGGTAACACTGCATCACTGATTGACTTAAAGGGATTGTAATGTCCTCTGTGTCATTTGTTCTTGTATTCCTTATACAACCTAGCACCTTCTTTACTATGACTGCAACTATAGGAAGTTCCTTGACTGCGGCTATCGAGCTCCTTGAGCTATCTGTGTACAAGGATGCACAAATCCCTTTCTTGGGTTGACAGTTTTCAAATACATATTGAGGTAGAAGTGTTCTTTCCTTTCGAGTGTTCATTATTTAGTTTCTAATTATATGAACATATTTTTTAATCACAACCACACCATGAAAACCTAATGGAGATTCAGAACTGTAATGTACTTAAATGTCATATAGAAAAAAGAATCATTCTGTACCACATTTAACAGATTGTTAGGTCTCTCTCAAGTTCTTCCAAAGTCTTTCTGGCTTGGCCTAACTAGCTTAAAATGACTACGTCATCTGCAAATGTTGCTGCCTTTAATACTGAGTGTCTAGCTCAGATCCAGAACCTAGTGCTATTGCCCCATTTATAAATGCAGATTCTTTCAGTTTGGGATTATATAGAGATTTACTGTGTTCTCTCCACTCAAAATTATCATCTTGCAAAATTAAAAGTATCCTTTAGATGTAGTGTTTCATCCAACCTCTGTAGCATGGGTTCTCAATCCCCAGGCCACGGCCTGGTGCCGGGCCATGGCGGGTTGGCTGCCAGATCAGAAGTGGCCGCAGACCGGCTAACTAAGGAGTGGGAATATCCTTACCTGTCTTCTGGCCGGAAAGTCTGGCCGCAGTCAGCTGTGACTGCTGGGCAGCAGCATAAAAACTTTGGGAACCCGTGCTCTATAGTATTGAGCTTCATGTATTGTCTGTAACTAGGTGTAACACATTTCACTAAAAATTGAAATTGTTATTATTCCACCCAGTTTCAGTGACTTCCATTTATATCAAGACCTTGAGCTACTACGGTTACATCCAGACGAGTACATGCATATGGGCATTCCCCATGCTTTTAATTTACAGCGCAGAGGGGTTTTTTGATACTGGGAAATCCAGTGCCTAAAAAAAGTGGGGCAGCACATGTTACCCTTCATGTCCTTTACTAGCTGCAACTCCCGTTGATCTAGTTGGGGATGGTCCTGCTTTGAGCAGTTGGACTAGATGACATCTTGAGGTCTCTTCCAACCCTAACTTTCAATGATTCTATTATCACACTGTGGAATTGTCTGTTTTTATATCCTCGGTGAAAATAATAGGATTGAATGGAGAGAAAATATTCTCAAGCAAATGTAATTTACCAGCATGTAGGTCAACAATGCATATATTACATGAAAATGTGTTATGGCTTAAAACTCCATATTGTATCATTAAATATTAATTCTTAAAAAGAAATGACTAGCTTTCTGAATGCTACTTCTTACATAACTTTTTTTTCACTACTCTTGTACCTCACAAAATCCAGATATAGAAGATTGCAGTACATGGTAGTTTCATAGTTTCATAGATTTAGGGTCAGAAGGGACCTAGTAGATCTTCTAGCCCAACCCCCTGCCAGGGCAGGAGAACAACAAAACCCCAAAACAA